GGAACCAGTCTGTTGTTCCATGTTCAGTTCTAACTGTTGCTTCTTGACCTGCATACAGATTTCTCAGGAGACAGGTCAGGTGGTCTGGTATTCCCATCTCTTTTAAGAATAGCTTAATAATATCTTAACTAATAAGATTTAGCAATATATGAGGAGAATTATATACCATGACAAGTAGAATTTTGTCCAGGGATGCAAGCTCTGGTTCTGTATTCAAAATCAACCAGTGTAGTTTACTATATTAATATTCCAAAGAAGAAAAAAAAAAATCTCATGATTCTATCAGTCAGTATATATAAAGCATTTGGCAATATCCAACACTCATTCATTTTTAAAACTCTCAGAAACATAGGAATAGAAGAATACTGCTTCAAATTAATAAGGAAAATCTATTTCAAAAAACTTAAAGCTAACAGCCATACTTGTTAGTGAAAGATTGAATGCTTTCTAAGATTAGGAACAATGCAAGAATGTCCACTGTCACTACTTTTATTGAATATTGTTCTAGAAATTTTAACTAGCCTCCTCAGGCCAATTATGTCTCCAATTTACCCACCCACTGACCACATGTACATAAGGAATCCCAGTCAAGGTCAGCTAGACCAAAAAAATCCCCTAGATAAGCATAGTCTAAATTGTCCACCTGCAGAATAATGAACTAAAGAAATGATTGTTGTTTTTAAGTTACAGAGTCTGGGATGATTTGTTACACAGCAATACCTGACTAATATAGGAAGACTCAATATCCTAAATGTATCAGTTCTCCTTTAATTTAAAAATAAATTAATCTACAAATTAGCTTATAAACGTAGCACTATCCCCATGGAAGTTTTTCTTTTAATTAGATAAACTTACTGTCAAGTTCACAGGGAAAAAGAAATGAAGTAGAATAGCAGGAAAACTGTAAGGAAGGGCAGGGACATGCCTTCCTATGTATTAAAATGTGTTACATAACCTCAGTCGTTAAAGTAGAGTGGTGCTGGTGCATTATTCAGACAGATCAATGGAAAAAAATAGAAAGTCCAGAAATTCAGTATGTGATATAGGTGAAATCTGTTAAATGGAGAAAATCATCAACTGTCTACTGATGGTATTGGGGTAATTAAATCTCCAAATGAGGGGGTAAGGGAGTTGGCTCTTCAAAAGTTAAGAGGGAAACAAAGGCAAGACACAGAAGGAGAGAAAATATTCACAACACATATGTCTGCCAGAGAACTTGTGTTCAGATTATGTGAAGGACTCCTACAACTCAGTAATAAGGCAATTAAATAAAAACATAGACAAGACTTGAAGAAATGCTTCACCAGAGAATATATGCAAATGGTTCTACAACTCAGTAATAAGGCAATTAAATAAAAACATGGACAAGACTTGAAGAAATGCTTCACCAGAGAATATATGCAAATGGTCAGTGAACTCAAGGAAAGATTTAGAATTAGCTACCGGGGAAATGCACAAAAAAACCACAGTGAGATCGCACTATATACCTGTTTTAAAATGAAGACTAAAAAAAAAATAAATAAAATGAAGACTAATGGTGCCAAGTGTTGGCAACAATGTGTAGTACCTGGAGCTCTCATACATTACCAATAAAAATGTGAATGGTGACTTTGCAAAACTAAATTGCGGTTTGTGGAAAAAAAAAATTCAACATATACCTACCATACCCCAGCATCTCTGTTCTTAGAAATCCAGGGGAAAGAACATATCCCTGCAAAGATTGCACAGAAGTGTCCATGGTAACTTTATTCAGAATAGTCCAAGACTGGAAACAACCCTATTTGCCAAACAACCCACTAGGTAAATGGGTAGAAAAACATGATATATTCATACAATGGAGCACTACTCAGCAATAAAAAGAAGAATAAATTATTGATAACATATAATATGGATCAACCTCAAGATCATGTTGAGTGAAAGGAGACATAAAAGCATATATACTGTGTGAATCTAACTATATAAAATTCTGGAAAAACAAACTAATACATAGTGACAAAAAAATAGATCAAAGCCTGCTTGGTGCCAGGTATAGAGGGAGGGGTGGATTGCAAAGCATTGTGAGGAATCTGGGGGAAAATGGAAATATCCTGTTTGTGATAGTGGTTTCCCAGGTGAGCATAGCTTAATAAAGTGTATACCATAAATCTGTGCAATTTATTTTATGTAAATTATAACTCATGATAAGTGATATTTAAAAATCGAAAAGTTTAGATAGAAATGCATTAAAAATGCAGGAAGTCAGACACTGTCCTGTGCTGCCGATGGGAAGGCAAACTGGTCAGCCCTGCGGAGTTCAGCTTGGTACTGTCTCTCAGAATAACGAATACAGTGGCACCTTTGACTCAACTATTCCACTTTCAGGAATTTATCCTACTTCCACACTTCTTAAAGGATGTGTTTGCAAAGTTTCTAATTGTAGCATTGTTTGTAATAATAACCAATAAGGAAATGATTAAATATACCTTGGTACATTCATGCGATAAAATACTTAAGCAGTTGTGACTTAAGTCTTAAGTTGTGACTTAAGAATGATGATCTCCACCAGCCCAGGTTGGATGCATGAGACAAGTGCTTGGGCCTGGTGCACTGGGAAGACCCAGAGGGATCGGATAGAGAGGGAGGTGGGAAGGGGGATCGGGATGGGGAATACATGTAAATCCATGGCTGATTCATGTCAATGTATGACAAAACCCACTATAATATTGTAAAGTAATTAGCCTCAAACTAATAAAAATAAATGGAAAAAAAAACCTAAAAAAAAGGAATGATGATCTCTGTGTCCTGACATGGAATAACTTCCACAGCATTTTAAGTGACCAAAGCAAGGGTCTTGACAATGTGTATTATGCTGAAAGGAGAATAAGAAAGTATATGTGCAAGTTTGCTTATATTTGTTTGCAAACAAAGTGTCTGGAAAGTTATATAAGAAATTAATGATAGTGGTTATCTTGTGGATAGAACAGAGACTGACGTGGGGAGAAAGGGGACAAGGAGACTCTTCCTGTACACTGATAACATTTGATTTTTGATTGAATTTATAATAATTAAATAAATAGAAATTTAAATCTAGTTTAAGAGAATGTAAAGTCCTACATAGATTTGTTATAAAGAAAACTGTCAAAAAATAATCAGATTACACAAAGGATTTTTTAAAATAGAAGATGGTAGATAATCTTCATGGGACAAGATTTTATTGAGCTTCAATCATGTTTTTTTTGCTTCTGTATTTCTAGTGGTAATTGCATTTCTTAGAATTAGTAAGTTCTTAAGTAGTGATCACCAAGTGCTGTGCACACAAAAAAGGAAGAAGAGAACAACGATCACAACGTTTCCCCAGTCCACACTCAGTAATGTGCACTGGTCTCCTCGTGGGACCCTGGATCAGAGGTCTTAGTAGGTCTCAGTGGGGCCTGGTATCTGTGTTTTTCTAAAGTTCTACAGGTGATTTGGTAAATGCCACTAGAAAGAGATCATTGTAACTGGTGCCTTGGGTATGGCTGAACCAGATGTGATGTGTGGTCTGTTAAGTAGGACAGTTTCACAAAATGAATTCTATTTAAAGTCATCTTTGTTTTTGAATATAAAACATTCTCTCTGATTGCACTACTTTAGTTTCCCTTTAGATATGCATAGAGTCAAGTAACTTTAATAGTGTATTTTTCTTGGATGTGTTCCAAATTCAGGTCCCTGGCCACCTCCAGTTGGAAAGATAGAACATATTGTTTGAGATAGTCAAGCCTAAAGTATCTAAAACACCTTCTAACAGTATGGCTTTTTTGAGCTAAATAAAATCATGGCATCATAGAGAAAAACTTTTACATGTTCTGGGAATGTTTAGAACTAAGGAAAGACTTTTTCTTTGACTTTAAATAATATGAAAAAGAAGGAGGCAATACAGATTCAGTCATTGTGGTTTTTGAGCTTCCCAGGTGGCGCTGTGGTAAAGAATCTGCCTGCCAATGCAGGAGGCATGGGTTTGATCCCTGGGCCAGGAATATCCCCTGGGGAAGGAAATGGCAACCCTCTTCAGTATTCTTGCCAGGAAAATTTCCAAAGGCAGAGGAACCTGGCGTGCTATAGTCCACGGGGTCTCAAAAGAGTCGGACACGACTGAGCACACACGCAATTATGATTTTTCATTTCACATTTTTTTTCTTTCAGTTGGCTTTTGAAACAATGAGTGTTATATCTGTGGTCACCAACTGTGCTCTGATTGGAATGTCACCACAAGTGAATGCACTCTTCCCAGAGTCAAAGACAGACCTCATTTTGATCGTAGTGGCCGTGGAGGTAAGTGAACATTTAAATCTATTTTATATAGTCTCTACGTCAGATGCCTATATTTTTCTAAGGCAGTGATGTCTCTGCCTGTCAGTGATGGAGAGTTCAGTGACTTGCATTACCTAGTTAGAAGGCAAAGCAGTTCAGGTATTGGGAACACATGAGGATCCAGGCTGTGCATTCCTGGTTGTTGTCTCTGTACAAAACAGTCCCCATGGTACAAACAGGACTGTTACTTTTCTATCCATTGTGCTGCTGTGTCTAGTGCTGAGGAGATAAATCCTATTTGAAATAGAATTCTGTGGACTTAATATTTTTTTTTAGTCAGTTTTAGGGAATCTTTAACTTCTACTTTCTTAAGCAAATAAATCCTAAGAAATGCTTTTTGATCATGGCTTGTTTAAAGTCTCGTTTGCAGCAGGTATGGGATTCATCATAAAACACTCTAAAACTCCAAGATGTAAAGAATAGGAAGACTCATAATATCACATACAAAGTATAAGTTGGCTATCTGTGTATTTCCTTGATATTTAACTTTTTTATCATATTTCTGAATACAGATTACATCTTGAAAATGAAGCTCTAATCAATAACAAATGGAAGAATTTGCAGGAATTTTCTTGTGATTATAGTTGTCAAGGATACTGTGATCTTTCATTTTTAGATACTGAAAAAAATAGAACAGTAGTAAAAGTTTGTCAAAGCAGAACTTAGTAGGATCACAGAGCAGTGATTCAGGACTTAGGGCTAACCCTAAGAAATGAAATTATGAACTTGTACATTTCTGGCAGTAGAAGAAAGAGATTCTGCTTTGTTCTATTTGCTCTTTTAGCATGTTTGATAGGAATCTTGTTCATGATAGAAGTTGTATATAGAGTATGCATTTCGGAGAAGGATTTTAGACAGCAGCAAGTAGGAAAAGAAAGAGAATGTTTTGCAGATAAAAGTAAGCCTGTTTTGAATTTTGTTGGTTGAACAGGATTTTGGAGAGCTATTTGCAAGGTGACTTACCACCTGTGGCAGTGAAAGAACAAGACAGAGATCCCTTAGATGGAATGGCCAACTGACCAGGGTCACAGTGCATCTTCTTGATTTAAGACATGGCCCTTAACTCTGCAGATCTTGGAGGTTGTCTTTGTCAGCATGTCAGGAGCTAATAATTAGGAGCTTTCAGCTTTGGGGCTGGCTTCCACTTAAAAATCATGAGACTCCCAAGGAACTGACCAGAATACCAGGTAGTTAATTTGCCATAAGGAGACTTTTCCAATGCTTATAACAGTCCGTGTTCAAGTAGAAGTGGAACTGGTTATCAGACGGTTTCTTAGTGAATTTAGAGGCAGAGCAAGAGGAGTGTAATAGTCTTAAGAGATGCAGAAAACCTGAAAATCATCCCTCCCCTCAAACAGCGCAGAGCTCTGTCTGAGCTGGGTCTTGGTGCCCATCATCAGCTTCTAAGCAGTGATGGATGATTTCAGCACTTCCCACTTCTTGATTTTGCTTGTCACTTTTTCTAGACTCCTGGCTGGCCCAGCCTTCCTGTATATTCCTGTTCATTAAGCCAGTGTTTTCTTCTGTATCAGTGATCTCTTAATCAGATATCAGGAACTGATCTTTTAATCAGTTTTAACAGAAACTTTGTTGTTGTCCTGAGGTTCTAACCCTTATGCCTCCTCTTACCATTTTAGTCTCTTCTTGTAGTATTCAAGCAACTATTTTACTGTCATTATCTAAACTGGTTCTTTAGAGTACAACAGAAATAAAAGCCTTGATTAAAAAATCCTGTGAGGAAGAACCTTTTCTATAGGAAACGTATTATTCTTTAATTGTGACTTTAATTTTTACTTTGTTATGTTTTTAAGCCTTTTATTTTGAAATAATTATAATTCAAAGGAAGTTGGAAAGATAGTACAGAGGTCCCATGCACCCTTCACCCAGTTCACCCCAGTGGTTACAACTTACGTAACTATAACATGGTTTCAAAACCGAGACCTTGACACTGGTGTAGTGTGTGTGTGTAGTTGTCATCTTATCACATGTATTGATTCATTAAACCCCTACAGTCAAGATATGTACGTTTCCATCATCACAAAGGTCTCCCTCCTCCCACCCCCTTATAGTCACACATGGTGTTCTGGTCTCTCAGTTCACCTCTCTGAGCATCAGCGGTCATGAGTCTCTTCTCCATCTCTATAATTTTCTCATTTTGAGAGTGTTATGTGAATGGCAACCTACAGTCTAAACTTTTCTTTGGTAACTTGTTATGTAGTAAATTGTGTCGCCCCCAAAGGTCTGTTGAATAGCTGACCCCCAGCACCTCAGAATGTGACCTTATTTGGAATGGAGTTGTTACAGCTCTGAGTGAGGTCATATTGGAGTAGAGGACACATTATCCAGTGTGACCATTGTCCTTACAAGAAGAGAAGAGACAGGGAAACCCAGGGGAGGATGCCCTGTGATGAGGGAGACAGAGATGGAAGTGCTTTAGCTCCAGGTCACGGAGCCCCAAGGATTGCCCGCAACCACCAGAACCCGGGCAGCACCAAGGGGCGAGTCCCCCATCCAGGTTTCAGAGGGAGCAGGGCCCCGAAGCCATGACTCCAGACTCCTTGTCTCCAGATTGTGAGACAGTAAATGTCTGCTGTTTATTTTTTTATTAGTTGGAGGCTAGTTTCTGTTGTTTAAACCACCCAGTTCCTGATACTTTGTCGTGGCAGGCCTAGAAAACTAACACAATAACCTTTCTGTTTGAAGAACTTCCTTTAACCAGTGCTAGCAACAAATTCTCTTAGCTTTTCTTTATCTGATCACTTTTCTCCCCCCTCTTTCATTCCTGAAGGATAGATTCATAAGGTATGGTATTCGTGGATTACAATTCTTTTCTTTCAGCACTTGAAAAATATTCTGGCACTTCCTTCCATCTGGTTTAGATGAGGAATCTGTTTTCATTCAGACTGATGGTAGGTACTGTTGCACTTTTCCTCTGGTTGCTTTCAAAGTTTTTTCTTTATTTTTAGTTTTCCCAAATTGAGTTATAGTGGGTCTTGGTGTGGATTGATTTAGTTGTTTGGGGATTACTTCACTTCTTAGATCTTTAGGCTTATTCTTTCACCAAATTTGTGGAAATTTCAGGCCTTATTTCTTCAGATACTCTTTATTCTTCCTTTTCTCCATCTGGGATTGATGATCTGAATGTTGGGTTTGTTTCTTTATTTTTTTGTATTTTCCTACACATCGCTAAGGTTCTGTTCAGCTTTTTTTTTTTTTTTTGGCCCGTTTTCTCTCTGTTGTTCAGTTTGGGAGAATTCTATTCATATTCCTCAACTTCACTGATTGTTTCCTCTGTCATATCCACTGTACTGTTGACCCCGTTCACTGAGTTTTCAAATTTTTCTGTGATTACATTTTTCAGTTCTAAAAGTTCCATTTAGTTCTATGTTATAACATCTGAGTTTTGTTTGTTTTGCTGAGATTTTCTGTTTTCTCATTTGTTTCAAGAGGATTTGTACTCGATTGTTGAAACTTTTTTTACAATGACTTGTATTCGCTCAGGCTGCTCTAACAAAATTCTAGAGACTGGGTGGCCTAAATAAGACGTACATTTCTCACAGTTCTGATGTCTGGAAGTCCAAAATCAAGGTGCTGGCAGATTTTGTGCTTGTAAGAGCCTTCTTGGCTTGCTGAGAGCTGCCTTTTTACTGACCTTCAGGACCTCGTCTCAACCCTCCAGTGCACCACTTGCTTCATGAGAACAGAATGATGTCTGCTTTTCTATCTCAGAAAATAGGCTACTCCCTAGAATAGTGCCTAAAACACTATAGGGATGCAGTTCAGTGTTTCGATGACTGTTGAATTAATGGAGTTTTAAAAAGGAAGCTGGGAATTTCAGTGTTTATTGAAAATGGGAAAATGGATATTTTTGGATAGATTTATTTTCAGTATTAGTTATGTATCTATATTTGTTAGTGTATAACATTTTCTGAGTCCTGCCTGTACAACACAAAAGGATGGCCAGTGCTCATCCTTTTCACTCCTTAATTAAATTATACTCAGTATTGAGTGTGGCTTCCCCAGTGGCACTAGTGGTAAAGAACCTGCCTGCCAATGCAGGAGATGTAAGAGATGTGGGTTTGATTGGGAAGATTCCCTGGAGGAGGAAATGGCAACTCACTCCAGTATTCTTGCCTGGAAAATCCCATGGACAGAGGAGCCTGGTGGGCTATAGTCTGTGGGATCACAAAGAGGTGGACACAACTGAGCGGCTGACTCTATGTATGTTTCACTGAATCTGGTGCTGAGAGGAGACAAAGCCATCTTTGTATTTTTGTCTTCAGGGATTCTGCTCCTTCTGTTCTGTCTTTTTTCACTGAAGTATAGTTGATTTACAATGTTGTGAAGAATTCTGCTTCTTAATGTAGTCAAGAAGAAATGGATATCTAATACCACACAGTACACACCCACAGATATCTTTAGTTTAGTACATTTACCAGAGATGCAGCTGGGCAGGAGGACGTGCCAAATGAATGGTCCGTGGAGCAGAAACCCATGAATTTCTTTCAAAGACAGCAGACCCTTTCCTATCTTTTTCCTTTGGTGAGCTCTTGGGGCCTCTGTAGCCTGTTTGGAAAAGTCCTGGACTTCACTCTGATTTCCCAGAGCAGTTTGAAAAGCACCTTCCTCCATGCTGGTGGAAACATCTCACTCAGAATTTTGACCCTATTTTAATCTACTCTGAGGATGTCAGTTAGGTGTTCCTGGTGACCTGAAGCATAGGAGACAAAAGCACAGCCATGGGCTCATTTAGAGTCAGTCATGACATAGAAGAAAGGTGTTTAAAATTAATCCACATAGGCCAAAATACCAGCAGTGTTTTAGGCTGTTTTGTTTGTTCTACGTTTATACCTCTAAATAAGAAGTATTTCCTTTGGTCGCCAAGGCTAACTTCCTATAAGAGAAGAATGATTGTTTTTGGTGTGTGCTTGTTTTTATGAGGATATAACTGTAATGTTACC